TTCCAGATTTCCTCCGGATTAAGTATGAGCTGGGAGAGGGGATCTAAGAATCCAATTGCTTCCAAATAGCTCCCCCCACCAGTCTTTCTTATTTTAGCTCCACCCGCACCCCCCCCTTCCCCAGCAGGGGGACCGAGGCTGCCAGGTTCTTTGTCTTTGGCAGAGTCCCCCTATAAATCATGCTGGTGCTCAGCCTTCCCACGGTGGCCTTGGATTTGGCTTTTCTGGGCTGCCAAGTCAGTCACCACCGGCCTCCTCTTCTTGTGGTTGTGGTTTCTCATCCTGTTTTTCTCTACAGTGTGGGTTTATGCCTCTCTCTCTCTCTCTCTCTCTCTCTCTCTCTCTCTCTCTCCCCCTTCCCTTCTCCTCCCCTTCTCTCCTTTCTCCTTCCTCTGCCTCTTCCCTTCCCCTTTCCTGTCCTCTCCCCCCCCTGTCTCTCCTCCTCTCCCTCTCTCCTCCTCTCTCTCTTCCTCTCTCTCTCTCCCTCCCTCTGTCCCTGCTGTTTCTCCTTTAAATTCCTCTTCCAGAAGTTCTAGTGCGGTTTCAGGAGAGAGCAAAATTAGATACGTATGTTCAATCTGTCGTTGTAACCTGAACTCTCCCCTAAAATTCTGAAATCCAATCTGTTCCTTAAAATGTGGTGTGGGAGTACTCCACAGAGCTGAAGAATTCCTTGGCTTAATTTTTTCCACAGACTCTGCTGCCTGTGATCAAGCCCTCTGCTGGAATCCAGGGTACTGATGTGGTCTCTGTGCTCGCAGACATCACTTAAGCAGAAGGGAGGAACATACTCAAGGGAACACAGTACATTCCCACAGTCCCTCACCCAAAATTCTTGAGGTCAAATGGGTTTGGGGTTTGAGAAGATACCAGATTTTAGAAAGGTAATAGAGGCCCTGTACCCCTCAGGATTCTCACAGCACCTCAGTGGGGCCTGCAGCAACACTTTGTGTTTCAACCACACATATTACTGCAGAGAAATGTATGGATACTCACACCACATCGAATAAAAAGGAAGTTTAAAACCTCACATCCATTCAGGACATGTTTTTAAGCAAACCGCGCTAACAGACCAAGCCTAGATTTCAGTTTGCAATTGCTGAGTTGGTGGTAAGGACCGTGAATCTCTTTAAGTCTGTTTGCTGCTATAACGAAATACCTTCTGCTGAATAATTCATAAGCCATAGAACTGTATGTCTCACTGTGCTGAGACCCAGAACTCCAAGTCCAAGCTATCTGCAGGCTCAGTGTCTGGTGAGAGCTGTTCTGCAAAGTCTTCTCCTGGGCAAAGGATGGACAACACCCTATGCATCTTTCAGGCATTATTTTTTCACTACTGAGGATTGAAATCAGGCCTTTGCACATGTAGGTGCTCTACCATCAAACCACATTCTCAATCCATTTCTTTAAAAAAAATTTTTTTTTGAGACATTGTCTTGCTAAGTTACCCGGACTGGCCTCGAACTTGCAGTCTTCTTACATGAGCCTCCCAAGTAGCTAAGGTTATAGGCATGTCCCACTGTGCCTGGCTCCCCAAATCAGAGAGACTGTTTCCCCACCTGAAAGGAGCTTTCCAGATTTCCTCCGGAGTGGAAGGGTATATGTATGAGCTGGGAGAGGGGATCTAAGAATCGAATTGCTTCCAAATAGCTCCCCCCACCAGTTTTGTAAGGTCACCAATTCTATTCATAAAGGCTCCAAACTCATAAATTAATTAAATCACCTCCTTAAGACACCACCTCTTAATGTCATCCCACTAGCAAGTAACTGTCAACACAGGAATACGTACTTGGTGTATTCAGTATAAAAATGAAGTCTGCAGAGCCGGGCATGGTGGTGCATGCCTGTAATCTCAGTGCTCAGAAGGCTGAGACAGGAGGAACATCATAAGTTTGAGGCAAGCCTCAGCTACATAGTGAGTTTAAGGTCAACCTGAACTGCTTAGGGAGACCCTGTTTCAAAAACAAAAAACAACACAAACAAACAAACAAACAAACAAAAAACCCACAAAGAAGTCTGCCCTAAGTACTGTGGGGAGTCTACTAATAGACTAGATGGGGAGAGAATGGCTTCATGGAGGGGGTGGTATTTGAGCTAGACCTTGATAATTGAATAGGTGCTCATCAGGCAGGAATGAGAGTTATATGTGGAGCTCAAGCAAAGGCCCTGAGATCTGGCCCATGAAAGCATGTCACTTCATGTCTCGCTCTTGAGAAACAGGCACTAGGCAGCTTGGTGTGGGTTCTAGAGTCGAGCTCTTTATCCACAAGATGAATCTACTTCCTCCAGCCAAAGGATGAACTTGGAATGGTACAAGAGATAGGGCTGCAGAGGTGGCTGGAGCCAGTCACAGAGAACTCTCTATGGCTATTTATTTATTTATTTTGGTGAGGGGATCTTTCTGAGACAGAGTCTCTCTATGCAGTTCAGGCTGGCCTTGAACTCACTTTATAATACAGGCTGGTCTCGAATTCCTAGGGATCCTCCTCCTCAACCTCCCAAGTGCTGGGATCACAGTTGTGCACTACCACATCCAGCAAGAGCTCTCTGAGTGCACCAAGAAGTTTGAGCTTTGGTCTGTAGAGCATCGTTTCTCAAAGTGTGGGCTCCTGGTGGGGGAAGAGAACACGAATTCAACAAGAAGCAAGCCTTCCCTATGAACCAGTGCCATGTGCAGGCCACCACCTGTAGGGAGACAGCCAGAACCCAGCCCCTTCTGGTGCGGAAACAAAAAGAGCCAGCCTCCCCCACTCTGCCTGCAGTAAGCTGCTGACTGATCCAGACAAACACAGGCTGCCAAGACAGCTGTTCAGGTGTAACGCAATTTGATGCTTGTGGTGTTTGGTGTTTCACTGTAGGTCTAGGGCCAGTGGTCTGATAAACTAGACAGAGGATAACGGTATGCAGCGTGGCATCTACTGGGGATCTCCTTCTGAAGATGGTAGCCATTGTTAATTCCCTGTTATCTTATTTTGAAGTCCTGTATCATTTTCATTAGTTTGCTGGGTTGGGTTTATTCTGTTTTGTTTTGTTTTGTTTGATTTTGTTATATCTGATGGCGTGGGCAGCTATTTCGAGGATGGCAAGATATATTATGGTAGCCATTTTGGATTTACTATTGTCTTATTTTGAAATCCCTTACTGCATTCATTGTCTTGTTCTTATTGGTTCTATTATGTTCTGTTTTGATTTTTACTATGTCTGAAGATATTTTGAAAACAACAAGAGGCATTGTAGCCACTGTTGATTTTGTATTGTTTTGAAGTCCTGTGTCACTTAACACTCGTTTGTTTTGATTGACCTTGCTCTGTTTTATTTTGCTTGGTTTTATGCTCCTTAAATAAAGTTTAAAAACTAAACAAACAAAAAAGTGGGTTCCAAACTCTTTTAAGGAGTCTAACAGGTCAAAATAATTTTTAAAATAATGCTAACATATTACTTTGTTGACATTTGTAATGAGGACACGAAAGCAAATTTGAAGCTGGAGGGAACTTTATATAATCACATACACAACGAAATGGTAAGGTTGTGACTCTAATTAAGATGCTTGATCCTTGAGGACACACTTTCTAACTTTCTGCATGACGAAGCAGGAAGGATGCACGAGACCTTGCTGTTTCTTACTGGAGCACCTTAGTTATCACTTGGAAGAGTATCTGCACGGTGGTCTGAGCTGCAGGTCAAGTCAGACATTGCTCATGGAACATCACTTTTACTTGAAAGAGTAGCTGCTCCCTCAAAATTATGTTTATTCATTTTGGGTGACTTTGGCAGGTATTTTCTTGAACATAAATGCAGCCAGCCTGTCACTTCCCGAAAAACAAAGCTGACAATGTTTGTTGCCAGTGAAAAAAATTTGAGCTTTTGAGCAACAATGAAAACACTCAGAAATTTACAGCAGGGTTTGTCCTCGGTGGTAATACCAGTGGTACCACTGATGATATTATTTGACCCTCAACAGTGCTATGAAATGTGTCAATGTTAGGAGGCCCTGCCTCCTAACCCAACATCTTTCACAAGATGCTGCAAAATCCTGCAGGGATGAAATATCCACTCTAAATGTGAAATCAATGGATTTTAATGTAACAGTCTAAAAAAAGTTCATTGATACTGAAACCACATTCCACATGGCAATTCACTTTTAAGAACCTACTGCTCATTGGGTTTTGGTGTGGTGTTAAAGAAACTATACACAATTATGTGAAAGACTGTTAAAGTACCCCTCCTTTTTTTTGCAAGTGTATACTTGTATGAGGTCTGATTTTCTTCCTACTCTTCAACCCAAACAATACATTGCAACAGCTTGATTGCAGAAGCAGAGTTGAGGATCAAACTAAGCCAGACAATAAAAGGATTTGCAGAACTGCAGAACAATGTTGCGCTGTTCACAGAGTATTTTGCTCACAAAAGTCATGGGAAATTTAGCTATTTTGCAGAAAAAAATGCACTTGCAATGGGTCTGTTATTCATGTTTTAAAATTAATAAGTATTTTTAAAATAGTCTTGCTTTGCATTTCTAACCTGGAAACTTTTATTATGACCAACATATATAAGAGCTCTTTGGGGTTCTCCAGGACTTTCAAGACTGCAAAGAGGACCTGAGATCAAATAAATTTGAGAGCTATTACTACAAATAAGAGGCAGTGCAGGATCGAACAAGAGGAGAGGGTGTGTTAGAAAGACCTTTCTAAAATCAGGTTGCAGTGACACAATCAGGAAGTAAGATATGCTGAGAAGAGAATGGAAGAGGCAACAGGGACAGGCAAGAACATTTTTGCAAGGAACACCCCAGAAGTAGAAATGACAAGGCTGATAACCTCTCCACCCTCACCCACCCACCATGCCTCATGGTCTCCATGTTCCCTGTAGGACTGGCCATCCTAATAGCCATCCAGCTGACTGTGTCCTCAGATGGGTCCTTGCATTCTCCCCCTGCAAACTTGTACTTTATAGTCTTCTCCATCTGGGAAAAAAAAACCCCAAAAACGATGAAAAGAAAATAAATAGCAACCTCAGCCTTCCACTTTATTAGGCCCCAAACCTTGCAGGCATTACACTCAGCAGCAAATGCTGTCAGTTCCATCTCTATAACATTTCCACATAATCCAGCCGCTTTTCATCCTCCTCCACTGCCTCTGTGAGCTCATCTTCCACCCTCCCCCTTGCTCACCTCCTTTAGTCACGCTGGCTTTGTTGAGGCTTGGCCATATGAAGCATATTTCCACCTCAGCCATCATAGTGGCTGTGCCCGCTGCCTGAATCACTCTTCCCTCTTGGTATCTACATGGTTTCAGAACTTTTGCTCAAACTTCTCCTTACTGAACAGTGCTTCTTGTATCTCTTGGCAACCCATTTCTCCTGCTGTACCTATCTGTTTTTTTCCTATCACTACTTTTTTTTTTTTTTTTGAGACAAGGTCTCACCATGCAGTTCAGGCTGACCTTGAACTCATTATGTGGCCCAGGATGGACTTCAACTTGCAGTGGTCTTTCTGCCTCAGCCTCCTGAATGCTGGGATTACCACATGTACCACCACACCTAGCTTCTTAGTGTGATTGACTTTCAGTCATCTCTTAACGCATTTTGCTTCCCTGCAGTAGCACGTCAGTTGTTGCAAATCACAGATGCTTAAATTTTGTCTCTTCTCCAACACCTAGATGGACCTAGGCCAGAACAAAACACTCAACATTTATTTGTTGAGTAAATACATGAATGAATGATCTGGCACCTACATTAAGTTTTTATTTAGAATCAAGTTTGGAAACCATTATTTCCTTAGCAAGGCAATCTGTCTGACACAACCCTGGCGGTACCTGGTATAATAGCTAATTTACTAAGCTCTTCCTGCGTGCTGCCTTAAGTGTTTTCTCAGGCATGATGTTATTCTTTCCAGCAACCTACAAAACAGAAACCATTATCCCCATTTTACCGATAAGAAAACAGAGGCAAAGAGAGACTGAGTAACCGGCCCAGGGTCATACATCCAGTTAGTATTAGAATAAGAGTTTGAACCAAGCAGTTTGGCCAAACGATACACATTCCTAACCATCTGTTGTGATATACAGGTCCAGGAGGAATGTAAATATCCATGTGAACAGGCTGGGTAGGATCTCTAAGGTGTTTCCAGTTTTATAGGTCTGTAACTTTGAGATTTAACCTATTTATAGTATTCATTGACCAGCTGACTAGTTAGCTAATTAACTTATCAAACAGATACCTGGTGCCAGCTTGTGGGCCAGGCATTTCCCATACTCCTAAGAAGGCACAGTTATGATGTCCATCATACAGACAGGACACCAGAGCTCACAGAGTTGAAGGACCTGAAGAACCTGTCCAAAGCTCAATCAACCCCTTTCCCTGCCCCCAGCTTGCTTCCCTCCTAGGGAGGAAGGAGCTTTGGGACCTCAGGTGGGAGATGTCCACTCATTGGGAGGTATGCAGGGTGAGGCCAGGGGGCTGACTCCAGTACTGCTGGTGCTGTCCTTATACTGGAAAGGTGTCAGCTAGGTCCAAAAAACCTGGTTGGAAAGTTGGAAAAGGAATAATTCTTATTAAAGTCCTTTATGTATTTATTTTTCCTGGTTGGCTTTGCACTTGCAGCGACGCTCCTGCTTCAGCCTCTAGAGGTTGCGATAGGCCTCTGGGTCCGGCAAAGTCCTTTAATCTTGACCTCTTTCCTCCAGGCTGCTGGGGCAGTGTCAACTAATGTATCATAATTTATGCAGCAGATCCCTAGGTACTGGACCAGCAGCAGGCTTTGACATCGGCCTACATATTCCTAAGGATGCTTCCCAAGCAGGCATCACGGAGCAGCCTGCAGAGGTTTAGAAAAGCTTCCTTAGTTAGAGCAAGGAAAAGGACCCAGAAAGGATCAAATCGAAAAAGACTCCTATTCAGGACCCCAGCGCCGGAGGTAGACTGGAGCCTGGCTCCAAAAAACTCAGGCCTGCCTGGAGACAAGGCAGGGTCACGTGACGCCCCGCCCCCACCCCGGCTGGCAGTGCAAATGGAGTCACAGGCAGCCTCATACCCCGGATTGCAAACGTTCGAGGTCCCCACCCATTCTGTGGCAGGAAGTCCAGTGTTTTCCTAGGGTTTTCCAAGAACGCCCAGAGAGTGCTGGGCCCCTGGCCGCGAGCTGCCCGCCGCGGACCGAAGGCTAAGGAAGCCCGGCTGCGCCCCCTGGAGGCGCGTTCCGGCGGCCCCCGCCTCCGCGGCTGGAGACGTGGCAGGCCTCCGCCGCGGGCACGTTTGGGAAGCGCGGAGGCCGGGAAGCTCTCCTAAAGCCATCCGTGGACGTGAGAGGGAGACGAAAACCGCATCCTTTTGTGCAACCGCGTCCCATCACGAGCGTCCGCAAAGATCGATCGCAGCGCTCACCCCCCGCCGGCTAGTCGCCCCTACTTCCTCTAGGGGGCGCGCTCGGGGCCAGAGCGGGTTTCGGGGTCTGCAGCCGCCGGCTTACCTTTCCCTCCTGCAGGCCGCTCGCCTGCTCTGTGATGCGCTCAGGACTGCTCAGTAATGCACGCCCCCTCCTGTTTAGGATTTGGGATCTGAGAGCAGCCGATCTCTGCGAATTCCTGTCCCCAGCGTGAACAGGAGGAGGCATGAAAGAGGATATGTACGAATTTTTTTTTTTTTTTTTTGCCTTGGCCATAGTTCCATGCATTTTCCACGTTGTTCCCTCTTTGTGATTCTCAGGATAACCACAAAGCCCACATTAATATCTCCATTTCAGTCAAAACTCCGAGGTCTGGGGAGGTTAAGTAACTTGTCCAATGTCACAAGGGTACTGATGGCACAGCGGGCTTCAAATGCAGGTCATCGGTGTGGGTCAGAGTCCTTCCCATGCTCTGTGCTGGGCGGTGAGGAGGCCAGCTGGCCTGAGTCACCCCAGGAGGGCTGTCAGGGAGAAGAGCCAGTGGAGATGGTGCCCTCATGACTCTGTTTTAGGGACTGACTTGCCTGGGCTACGGTCTCTAGTCACCTGATCAAACACTAACCTAGACATGATGTGAAGGCATTAGTGGATGTGATTACTTTGTTATCAGTTTAGTTTAAGGAAGATTATCCCAGATAATCTCACTGGATCTCATTCCATCAGTTGAAAGACGCTTAGAACTGAGGCTCCTGGGAAGAAGAAAGTCAGCCTGGGGTATCTTTGGGGTTTGGATCCAAGACCCCCACAGATATCACGGTCTGGATGTTCAAATTCTTTAACCTAAAATGGCACAGCGTTTGCACATAACCCACACAGATATTTTTAGAATTTAAATAATCTCTAGATTACTAATAATATCTTTAATATAATGTAAATGCTATGTGAATAGTTGTACCATATTATTTAGGCGAGAACGAGAAGAAAAATTGTACACAGTGCAAACACAATTTTTAGGGGATTTTTAAAATTTGTAATTGGTTGACTGTGGATGTGGTGTAGCACCATTGATACACAGGGCCGAGTATGCTTATATCTACATCATCTGTATCTATGTCACGTATATCTGTGTTATCTATACCTATATCTGTTGTGTGTCGGTATCTATAGCTGTTCTACAGATTCTGTAGCTCCAGTTTCTCTAATTGAACCCTGACTGATACTGTGGACATCTGCTGGGAGAGCTTGTGAAACCCCTCGCTAGGACTTGGCTCAAGGTAAGACCCTTGTGAGTTCCCACCAATGGCTAGCTGCAATCCTAGGAAGAGTGGGGAAGTTCCAGATTGACTGAAATTGTGTTTTCATTACCAACAGGAATGAAGAACCAATAAAGAAATTTCCTTGAGATATTTTGAGAATAGAGATGGAGCTGAGGATTTAGCTCAGCGGTATAAGCACCTGCCTTGCAAACAGGCAGTCGTGAGTTTGATCCCTGGTACCAATTAAAAAAAAAAAAAAGGAGAATAGAGTAATGCCATTAAAAACTTTTTTTATTATCGGTACCAGGAATCAAACTTACGACCACGTGCTTGCAAGGCAGGCGCTTATGCCGCTGAGCTAAATCCCCCACCCTGAGAAATGCTATTTTTACACCATGAGGCTTATGGGCCAAGATTAGTGCATCATTGTAAACCTTGGGACATAAGGCTAATTTTGTTATCAAAACATTTCTATTAATGAATTATTAATTTTATTATGCTTAACAAGAAACATTTCATCCTATTTTTTTTTTTTTTTTTTTTTTTTTTTTGGTACTGGGTATTGAACTCACAACCTTGCACTTAGCAGGCAAGCATTTGAGCCACTGACCTAAATCTCCAGCCCTAATAAGGAATACCTAATAGGAAAAAGTTCACAAAAATAAAGTATTGCGTTTTTAATATTTATTGAATGTTTATTAAAAAAGCATCCACGTTTTCAACATTGACTGGTTTTTGGTGTACAAAGTCTAAAAAAGAACATCAGAAATAAATTCCCATATGAACTACAATGAAGGGGCTGGAGATTTAGCTCAGCGGCATAAGCACCTGCCTTGCAAGCAGGCGGTCGTGAGTTTGATCCCTGGTACCGATAAAAATGAAAAAGATAAAAAAACCCCCCCAAAAAATGAACTACAATGAAAATGCCAATAGCACTTTACAAAAAAAAACAATCTTTTTTTTGCTGCTTACATTTTTAATTTTATTATTTATTATTTAATTATTTTTATTATTTATTATTTTTTATTTTAAAGAGACTAGAACCAAATCAAACCAAACCAAACCAAACAGAATAAAGCTAACCAGAACAGAACAATGAAAGCAATACAGGACTTCAAAACAAGATAATAGGAAATCAACAATGGATAGATAATGTCTCTTGTTTTCTTCAAAATAGCTGCCATGGCATCAGACGTAATAAAATCAAACAAAACAGAATAAAGCCAATCAAACAGAATGAATAAAATGAAACAATAAAACAGAACAAAATAAAACAGTGAGAACAATATTGGATTTCAAAAACAAGACAGAAGGAAATCCCCCATATTTGCTATGTTGCATATTGTTATCCTCTTAATAGATGCTCAGACTACTGGCCTTAGGCATGCAGTGTCAATCAAACAATACAAGCATTAAGTTGCTTTTATACCTCAGCAGCTATCAACTCAGCCTGTCCTCCGAATCAGCCAGCTGTTTGCTTATGGGGGAGGGGGCATAATTTTGTCTCCTAGCCCACATACTGATTGGCTCACAGGAAAGGTGAATTGGCTTCTTGTTACTACTCCCAGCAGAAAAAAAAAATCTTTTTTTTTTTTTTTTTTTTGTCTTTTTCATTTTTACCGGGACCAGGGATTGAACTCACGACTGCTTGCTTTCAAGGCAGGTGCTTATGCCGCTGAGCTAAATCCCCAGCCCATAAAAAAAAAATCTTTAATTAGCATATCTTAGGCAGTCTGCACACATGACAGCACATTCCACAGATGTGCATCGCTCACATTGGCAATACATCTTTCACTGTCCTGTCCTTTATTGGGGCATACTTGACATCTCAGTGATCTTGCCGGGTTTTTTTTTAGGAGGTTCTTACTTTATTCTACAGTGTGTAGTTAACAGGGACACAAAATATCAACAAAATAAATTATTAAATTCTTTGTTTTTTTTTTTTTTCATTTTTATCGGTACTGGGGATCGAACTCAAGACCGCCTGCTTGCAAGGCAGGTGCTTATGCCGCTGAGCTAAATCCCCAGCCCCATTATTAAATTCTTAATATGTGCTGTGTGTTCAGTACAGACATCAACATTGTCACCTCAGCTGTGTACTTCCTTACAAAACCTCCTATATGAATTACAATGAGAATACAAATAGAACTCTACCACGAAAATAAGCTTTGCTTGAACTGTCACACCCGAGGTAATCTTCACACATGATAACTACATGTTCCATGCACACGTCTTACTTACACTGACAGCATGTGTGCTTAGCTTTACTGTGCTATGTGGCAGCCTTGTCACCTCTCTTCCTGTTTTGGCAGGAGCTTCCTATTATATTTTACAAAATCCACTTAGAAGGGGAATAAGATGTCAATAAAATAAAATATCAAATATGTAATGAGTGCTTAGAATAGACATCAACATTTTCACATCACCTGTTTACTCACAAAACCTAAAAGATAATATAAAAAATATTTATGTGAACTAAAAAGTAATTTGTAACCATGACTAACCCTGTTGGAGCTAAGACAAGAAAAGGAGAGATGTAGAAGACAATTTGAATGACTCCCCTTGAAAGGCGAACAATTCTGTGACTTTGATTATATCCTGACTGATTTCCAAATACTGATAGGTACAGAGCTGACTAGGATATTTTCTTCTGTCTTCAATTGGCTAAAAGCATTGCAGATAAGGCTAGCCAGGTACTGGTATGTAATCTCTAAAGCCATCAGACAGTCTCCTGTTTCCAGGCATAATGCTCTCTGTAAAAGATATGAGCACAGCAGGATGGTGGAGCCATCAAACTCCAAGAATGTCAACTGGTATGAGCCTCAAGATATAGAGGCTGAGTCCCCGGGGCACAAAAGTTTACCGCTCAGAAACTGAAGCAGCAGCCTCCTAAAACAATTCAGCTGCTACCTTAATTGAATTATGCAGATTGATCCTTCTGCAAGTCATTATCCCTGCACTTTGCAAAGGTGTTTTTCTCCCTATCTGGCTAACCATCTCAAATTACTCATGCAATTCTTGTCATCCTCGCTGTCACTCATCCTCGACTTACCTCCTTTTTCACAAAATAATGAATTCTGGGAGAGGGCTCAGCTCAGGGCCTTTGTCCTCACATCCTGATGGGGATTGGATTTAGGATTCCTTGGCTGCCCTCAACTTGGAATATATCTTGGTGTCTTTACTCTTGCTGTGGGTTACATTGGAGGTGGTAGATTGGAATTAACTTGCCCAGATCCCTATAACATCTCATTAGGAGTTATATATATATAACTTTTTGAATTGTGAGAAAGACTGGGAAAGGGATTACAACACTTGGATTACAGTACGCAGTACTTGGGATTACAATAAATGAACACTAATGAAATTTACTATAGAAATAAGCTTTGCTTTAAATGACACACCCAAGGCAGTCTTCACACATGACAACTACATGTTCCATACACAAGTATTGATTGTACTGATAATGCGTATGTTTTGTTTTCCTGTACTTTGCCCCTGTACTTTCTTGTAAGGTACAGCTGACATCTTTGTTTTCCTATTGTAGTAGGTCTTTGTGACCTCTCGGCTCACTGATGTGCTCCATAATTTTTTTGTGTCATTCCCTGGGCAGAAACATTTTGCTATTCCTCTGCTATAAAAAAATCTCTTATGGGGGCTGGGGATTTAGCTCAGCAGCATCAGCGCCTGCCTTGCAAGCAGGCAGTCATGAGTTCGGTCCCTAGTACCGATAAAAAGGAAAAAGACAAAAAGACAAAAAAAAAAAAAAAAAAAAAAAAAAAAATCTCTTATGAGCTCCAGTCCCAGTCCTCTAAGAAAATATCTCCATGGTATTTTGCAATTGTTATTTTCTTTGTAAATTATCAAACTATGCCACACATTTTTAGGAGTGAGTAAAACACAACTGTTGGCCAATGCTTTGTATTTCAAGTGACATTAGCATTGTGGCATAGCTCA